CTCCAGCAGCACCACCAACTCCAGCAGCACCACCAGCTCCAGCAGTACCTCCAGCAGCACCAGAAGCACCAACTCCAGCACCCCCAGGAGCATCGGCTCCAGCAGCACCTTCAGCTCCAGTACCTCCAGCTCCAGCACCTCCATTAGCTCCAGCTCCAGCAGGACCACAAGAAGCCCAAGCAGCCCTAGCAGCGCCAGGGCCAGCACCTCCAGCAGCACCGGGTCCAGTAGTACCGCCAGCTCCAGCACCTCTTGCAGCTCCAGCCCCAGTAGCACCACCAGGCCCAGCATCTCCAGTACCTTCAGTACGAGCACCTCCGGGACCAGTGGCTCCAGAACCCCCAGCAGCTCCAGCAGCACCAGGACCTCCAGCGCCCGTAGCACCACCAGCTCTAGCAGCACGGCTCTAGCGGCGAGCAAACCACTCGCGCAGCTGCCGTGGACAGAGTGGCTCCCGTCGGGACGAAGCACCCGAAGGACCTCCACGCGCTGCACCTCCAGACTCCACACGCGCAGGCTCAGCACCCTCAGGCTCCAGACTCAGCAACCCTAGGCTCAGCACCCCAAGGCTCAGCACCCCCAGGCTCAGCAACCCCGAACTCAGCACCCCCAGGCTCCGCACGCTCAGGCTCAGCACCCCCAGGCTCCGCACGCTCAGGCTCAGCACCCCCAAACCCGGCACCCGCAGGCTCAGCACCCCTAGCAGCACCAGAGTCAACAGCTACCTCGACAGGCTCGACTCCGTCTACCTAGGACACACCTGACGGGGCAGGACCCTGAGGGGGGAGGGGGTCTACCGGGGGAGGACCTGGCGTGAGGAAGAGCGGCGGGAGGGGGGAGGGGGGCAGTGCGGTAGGGGGAGAGACGGTAGTAAGGAACCGACTCGTAAAACGTGACATCCTGAGAGGACAGAACAGGGCGCGAGGTAGGGTTGTAAAACTGCCAACCAGGCGAGTCAGGGGGGAAGCCAAGGAAGACGCAGGGAACGGCACGGGAGGACAGCTTGTCCGCAGACAAGTCGCGGACAAAAGCTCGAGATCCCCAGACACGGAGCGCAGACGCATCGCCAACCTTTCCCGTCCACCGCAGATTAGGGGAGGTCTCCGGCATGGAGACCCGGGGTTGGAGGTTGAGCTGATGCGCCGCGTACTGAACTGTGAACGGCCACAGAAAATGGGGAGTAGCCGCATGGATCATGGACGTACGATCGACGTCCATGACCATGCCAATGCGGTGCTCAGCAATCCCATTTTTCTGTGGAGAGGCCGGAAGCGTGAACGTCTGGCGGATGCCCTCCGCACGACAGAAGGCTCGCAGAAGGTCGGAGGAAAACTCTCCACCTCTGTCGGAGTGCAGACGCAGAACAGGAAAGTCCGAACCGAAACTCTTGCTGAGCTGGAGACGGGCAGCGCGGATCCAGTCGATCAACACCTCAGTGACCTCACCCTTGCGGCGCAAGGGGAAGACTGTGGTGTAACGCGAGTAGTCGTCAACAACCAGCAGGAAGAAACGCTCGTGACCCTGTCCACGGACGCGGGCTGGGCCCCACACGTCCATGTGGAGAGTCTGCAGCGAGGAAACTCGGAGGAGTGAGGAGCGGCGCGCTGCCGGCCCTCGACGCAGGCAACCTAGGTAGGGGCAGGCCCCGGAGGAAGGGGAGGGAGGGACCGGGGGAGACCAGAGACAAGGACACGGGAGGCCATGCCTCGGAGACGAGGCAGGGAGGGGTGACCAAGGCGGTGGTGCCAGAGGAGAGTCTGGTGAGACAGGAGGCAACACGAGCAGGGGGTAGACTCAGGACCAGACCGGGACGCTGCAGCAAACACCTGACCCGACGGAGCTACCTGACCAGACTCAGCAACCGGAGGAGACACGGTAGTCAGGGTGTACAGGCTCGACCCAGGCTAACGGGTGAACGTGGCCAGGTGCCGGCCCGTCCGAGTGCACGAACAGTGGGTCACCCGCTGACCTCCAGGAGTGAACTGGTCAATCCACGCGTCCTGAAGGTCAGCTCCACTCACCAAGTTCGTGGAGAACGAGGGGAGGTGGAGGCCAGACAGTGAGCCAGATGGGACCGCCGGACACGGCAGAACCGTTGAGGAGTAGGCAAGGACCAGACCCCCAGAGGGGTCAGCCAGAGAGACTGCCACCGGTCGACTGAGCGGCGAGAGTGTGGTGCAGTCGCGAAAGAAGGAGCGGGAAGCACCTGAGTCAAGGGTGAAAGTGTGCAAGGCCGCAGCAGGCGCAGTACCAGAGAGAGCAGACTCACCAGCACCTGGAGGAGTGGACTCCCTAGCGCCTAGAGCAGCAGCCTCACCGGCACCTGGAGCAAGAGACGCTCCAGCACCTAGAGCAGCAGCCTCACTAGCACCTAGAGCAGCAGACTCTATACCTGGGTCAGGCGGCACACACAGGTAACAGGCACCCTCAGCACTAGTAGGCAATGCATACATGGCAGTGAGGATAGCATCATAGTCAAGAGCATAGATATCTACCCTCTGCCTAAGCAGCTCCACCCAGTCGGGGAGCTCAGCCGCGTCGCCAAACTTTGTACGCCAGGCGTCGCTCAGACGGGAGAAGCAACGGGACTCTGTGTGACCAATCGTCCCGCAAGGCTCACCAGCCCGAGCACCAGTGCGAATGATGTACGGGCAGCGAGCAGTACTCCGTGACCCTCCACTCTGTGCGTACCACTCACGAAGCTGCTGGGGTGAAAGGACCGCGCGCGGACGCTGCTGCAGCTGCACCTGGTCACTACAAGAAGCTCCCGAACGACCCGCTCCAGGGCGACTCCCACCACGGCCACCCCTACAACCCCAACTAGCGTACCACTTACGAAGCTGCTGGGGCATGAGGGACTCACGCGGACGTCGCTGGAGCTGCATCTGGCCACCGCCAGGAGCAGCAGTAGCAGTAGTAGCCGCAGTAGAAGCAGTGGCAGCAGTAACAGCAGTAGCAGCAGTAGTAGCAATAGCAGCGCGGCCACCCCTACAACCCCAACTAGCGTACCACTCACGTAGCTGCTGGGGCGTGAGGGACTCACGCGGACGTCGCTGGAGCTGCATTTGGCCACCGCCAGGAGCAGCAGTAGCAGCAGCAGTAGCAGCAGTAACAGCAGTAACAGCAGTAACAGCAGTAGCAGCGCGGCCACCCCTACAACCCCAACTAGCGTACCACTCACGTAGCTGCTGGAGCGTGAGGGACTCACGCGGTCGTCGCTGGAGCTGCATCTGGCCACCGCCAGGAGCAGCAGTAGCAGGAGTAGCAGTAGTAGTAGCAGTAGCAGCAGAAACAGTAGTAGCAGCACGGGCAGGGCAGTGTGGCAGTGCGCTAGTAAGGTAGGCGCGCGGGAAGCGCGGGTAGGGCAAGTGCTCACCAGTGGCGGAAAGGGCAGTCGCTCGCCGAGCGAGCAGGGTAGGCGCATGAGGACGGCGACGGCGTGGCCGGGACAGCTGCAGGGCAGGGCCGTGACAGCGGCAGGGGGCTCTTTGGCAGCTGCTGCAGGGCGGGGCCACGAGTGCTGCAGGCGGCTCCGCAGCAGCTGCAGCAGGGCGGGGCCGCGACGGCGGCAGGGGGGGGGGCTCCGTGGCAGCTGCTGCAGGGCGGGGCCGCGACTGCTGCAGGCGGCTCCACGGCGGCTGCTGTAGGGCGGGACCGCTACGGCGGCAGGGGGCTCCGCGGCATCTGCTGCAGGGCGGGGCTCCAAGGCAGCTGCTGCAGGGGGGGGCGCCGCGACGAGCAATGAAGGCGCCCAGGGGGCGCCGCGACGAACAGGAACGGCGCCTAGGGGGCGCCGCGACGAGCAGGGGTGACGCCCCGGGGGCGTCGCAACGAGCAGGGACGGCGCCCAGGGGGCGCCGCGACGAGCTGGGGCGACGCCCCGGGGGCGCCGCGACGAGCAGGGGCGACGCCCCGGGGGCGCCGCGACGAGCAGGAACGGCGCCCATTGGGCGCCGCGATGAGCAGGGGCGACGCCCCGGGGGCGTCGCGACGAGCAGGGACGGCGCCCCGGGGGCGTCGGGACGAGCAGGGACGACGCCCAGGGGGCGCCGCGACGAGCAGGGACGGCGCCCTGGGGGCGCCGTGACGAGGAGGGGGGGGGGGACGTTGCGTGGGTCCCGAAGGGGCGTCGCGACGAGCACGGTTTAGGGCTGCAGAGGCAGTTCCCACGGGCTGCAGAGGTAGGCACGGCTGCAGGGGCAGGCACGGCTGCAGGGGCAGACACAGCTGCAGTGGCAGCACGGTCGCAGGGGCAGCACGCGGGCTGCAAGGGCAGCGCGGCCGCAGGGGCAGCTAAAAAAAAAAATCTGTTAGGGCAGGGCGAAACGTTCGGTGGGCCCTAGGAACGATTCTGCTCTAATACCATGTGAGAATAAGAACGAGGAATGAATTGACTAGGAATGTGAAATGTACATATATGAAACCCTAGAAAAGCTGTACCCCCTATTGTCTACCCCACTACAGCCTACATCATCACAATCTTCCGGTCTGGATTTCAGCTGGTTTCCAGCCAGAGTTCAAGACTCGCGGCGGAAATCTGACTGAAAACCAGGGTCGATTTCCGCCTGAACACATGGCACTAACGTGACTGGTTTTCTCGTGGATTGCAGGCCATATCATAGGATGGGTTCAGGGGTTCGGTTCAGCCTGCGCTCCAGCTGGTAACTGACCGAAATGGGTGTGGTGGTAACGCCACATTCCGCGTCGGAATCGCGCCTCGGGGCCAATAAATGTAATAATGTACACCTTTTTTTTTGTATAGTAGTTTCTATTAAATCTATGTTCGATATAAATATTTGTATTGTGCTGATTTCTCAATTCGTTTTACAATTGTTTTTTAATTGTTTTGCATATAATAGTTCAGCTGTTATTACTGTTGCTGTTGCTGTTATAATTGTTCTGCCCATATAATTTTTAATATCAGAACACAGAAACTAGTATTGCCCGTATTACTGCTTTAAGGATCGGTGCATTTATTACCATTCTTATTAACCAGAAATTCAAACAGGCAATAGTGCAGGGTAATCCGACGCATCAATACGGACCCCGTTTTCGAACACCCACGCGTTTGTTGTCGCATCATGCGTGACGCCCAGCACATTCACATAGTGCTCCACCCAACGTCGAACCCTGATGCACGTTAGCTCGAACAACCTGCGGTTTTCACGCTGGTCCGTGCCCAGCTTGCCATCCCCTGCTGCCTCCAACAGTGGGTTCTCGAGCTGAACACAGGAACAAGGCGAAACAGCATTAACATGTTGATATTGAAACCTAACCGTTGGATATAATGAAAAAACACTTACTGAAAACAAGGCAAAAGCCACCATGCGTGTCTTCCACGCTGTGACATCGACGCGGCGCCTTCGAAACGCCTTGCTCATGGCGATCGCAAACAATTTCGTGGAGAATGGGCGCTGCGTGATCTGGTCAACATGCCATTTCAGCCCCCACTCGTCTGCCAGAGCATGTGACAGACGAGGGGACAGAGAAGGGGACAGAGCATGTGATAGAGGAGGTGAGAGCACGGGAAGGGACAGCGCAGGAGGGGAGAGCATGGGAGGAGACAGAGCAGGAGGGGAGAGCAAGGGAGGGGACAGAGCAGGAGGGGAGAGCAAGGGAAGGACAGATCAGGAGGTAAAAGCACGGGATGGGACAGAGCAGGAGGGGAGAGCACGGGAGTGGTCAGAGCAGGAGGGGACAGAGCATGTGACAGAGGAGGGGACAGAGCATATGACAGAGGAGGGGACAGAGCATGTGACAGAGGAGGGGACAGAATGTGAAAGAGGAGGGGACAGAATGTGACAGAGGAGGGGACAGAATGTGACAGAGGAGGGGACAGAGCATGTGACAGAGGAGGGGACAGAGCATGTGACAGAGGAGGGGACAGAGCATGTGACAGAAGGAAGGGAGAGAGCATGTGACAGAGGAGGGGGGGAGAGAGCATGTGACAGAGGAGGGGGGGAGAGAGCATGTGACAGGAGGGGGGGAGAGAGCATGTGACAGACGAGGGGGGGAGAGAGCATGTGACAGAGGAGGGGGGGAGAGAGCATGTGACAGAGGAGGGGGGGAGAGAGCATGTGACAGAGGAGGGGGGGAGAGAGCATGTGACAGAGGAGGGGGGGAGAGAGCATGTGACAGAGGAGGGGGGGAGAGAGCATGTGACAGAGGAGGGGGGGAGAGAGCATGTGACAGAGGAGGGGGGGAGAGAGCATGTGACAGAGGAGGGGGGGAGAGAGCAAGGGTTAGGAGCTCACCAGTCATGTTGTCCCGGACCAGTTCGGCATCGTTCCGATACACCGCCGGACGATCCAACTCCGCCGGGAGGGACATCACCTTCCCCTTGTTTTTCTCCCGCCCCAATGCAGTTAGAACCAATCGACGGAGTATTTTGCCAATTGCACACCGGGTATTGCTGCATGCTGTATAGAATGCCCCCTTTGTTGTTGGGCATTGTTGTTTCCACAGCAGTTGCAAGTGGGGCATGGTATCAGGGGACAGATAAGTAGATAACCCAGCCATCGCCTCTTCACTCGAAGGATACATCTGGATGTGAAGAGCGTCGTTCAGCCAGAAGAACTCGGTGATGACACTCCGGCACTTCACCTGCCAGGAAAAAAATGTATGAGTAGATGGAAGGGTGGGACACAAAATGTACGTGGTGGAGACCACTACGGGGCATGGCATGGTGAGTGCAGAGGAGCAGCGAGACAAGGCAGGAAGGGAGAGCACTGGAGGGGACAGAGCAGGAGAGGAGCGCACAGGAAGGGACAGAGCAGGAGTGGCAAATCAACGGGGAACAGAGCTGGTGGGAAGACTGCATGAGGGAATAGAGCATGAGAGGAAAGGGCAGCAAGGGTTTATACGCACCTTCCAGTCTCCAGCATCGACGATCACCATTTCCAGAGCGATTTGTCCGGCACTCCGACTTGGAGGGCGAGGAACGCCTGTTGTTGCGTCGCTGCCCTGCGACGCAAGTCCTTGAGCAGGAACCGCGACTCCTTGAGCCCTGAGGCTCTCAAACTGTTGGAGCATCTCCTTCCTAAGCGCCGCAAACTCCGCTCGTGATACCCACTGCGTCTGCGCCACCCTGGTTGATACGGCAGCCAAAGCCGTGGGCCCTGGAGGCGGCGTCCTTACAGTAGTGGTACCCCTGGGCCTGAAAACTCCAGTAGATGCTGCTGCTGCTCCCACCCTCCCTCCAGTCGATGCCGCTGCTCCTCCCACCCTCCCTCCAGTCGATGCCGCTGCTCCTCCCACCCTCCCTCCAGTCGATGCCGCTGCTCCTCCCACCCTCCCTCCAGTCGATGCCGCTGCTTCTCCCACCCTCCCTCCAGTCGATGCCGCTGCTCCTCCCACCCTCCCTCCAGTCGATGCCGCTGCTCCTCCCACCCTCCCTCCAGTCGATGCCGCTGCTGCTCCCACCCTCCCTCCAGTCGATGCCGCTGCTGCTCCTCCCACCCTCACCCCAGTTGATGCTGCTGCTGCTCCCACCCTCCCTCCCGTTGACGCTGCTGCTGCTCCCACCCTCACCCCAGTTGATGCTGCTGCTGCTCCCACCCTCCCTCCCGTTGGCGCTGCTCCTCCCACCCTCGCAACAGTCATACCCGCAGGAGCTGCTGCTGCTCCCACTTGCATCGCACTAGTAGTTGCCCGCTGGGTGACCTGTAGCTGGGGCAGCTTCCCCCCTCCCCCCCCAAGGTTGAATCGCTCGATGGTGGTTGGCGGACCCACACCAGAATTCTTCACCGCTGATTGGTGTAGGGTGAGAGCAAGATGGGACAGGTCAGGATGGGATAGCGCATGAGGGGACAGGTCAGGACGGTTTAGGGAAGCTAGTTGGGAATATTCATGGGACAACGGGAGTATTGACAGAGACGGATGGGAAAAAGCAAGGCGGGTCAGAACGAAGGGTTACAGGGCTGGAGGGCAAAAAGTGGATGACTTACGCTTTTTGGGCTTAGGTTTTGTCTTTGTCTTCCCCTCCGTTACTTCACCTTTACCCTTTGGAAGGGGTTTAGTGCTGGCCTTCTTACTCCTGCGCTTCGTGGGTGGCTTCGCCGCCGCCAATGCCCCTTTCACGGTCTGCCCTCCTTGTTTATCCTTTGCTTCTCCGCCACGCCCGTTACCGCACTGTTGCGTATCATCCGGTGCGGCCCCCAGAATCATAAACCGCCCTTTCTTCACCACTCGTGCAGCTTCTTCATCCTCATCCAGCGTCGACCCGCGGCTGAGTGCTTGTACGCGTGTCCGCCGCCCATTAGTTCTCTCCTCTGCACTAAAATTGGAGTAATCGGACAAGCCTTCGCCCACATTGTCGTCATCTGCCTGGACCCCATCCGCCTCCTCTCCTTCCGCTTGCTCGCCTTCCGCCTCCTCTCCAGCCCCATCTACAGCCCCTACGCTTTCCCCCTCTTCGCCTTCCCCCTCTTCGCCTTCCCCCTCTTCGCCTTCCCCCTCTTCGCCTTCCCCCTCTTCGCCTTCCCCCTCCTCGCCTTCCCCCTCTTCGCCTTCCCCCTCCTCGCCTTCCCCCTCTTCGCCTTCCCCCTCCTCGCCTTCCCCCTCTTCGCCTTCCCCCTCCTCGCCTTCCCCCTCTTCGCCTTCCCCCTCTTCGCCTTCCCCCTCTTCGCCATCCCACTCCCCACCTTCCGCCCCTTCGCCTTCCGCCTCCTCGCCAACAGCTCCTACGCCTTCCGCCTCTCCGCCTTCCGCCCCTTCACCTTCCCCCTCCTCGCCTTCCCCCTCCTCGCCTTCGTCCGCTTCGCCTTCGTCCGCTTCGCCTTCGTCCGCTTCGCCTTCGTCCGCTTCCCCTTCGTCCGCTTCGCCTTCGTCCGCGTCGCCTTCGTCCGCTTCGCTTTCGTCCGCTTCGCCTTCGTCCGATTCGCTTTCGTCCGCTTCATCTTCGTCCGATTCGCCTTCGTCCGCTTCGCCGTCGTCCGCTTCCCCTTCGTCCGCTTCCCCTTCGTCCGCTTCCCCTTCGTCCGCTTCGCCTCCGTCCGCTTCGCCTTTGTCCGCTTCACCAACCACCTTCTCGCCATACGTCTCGTCGCGATATGAACCGTCATCATTCGCCACACCAAACACCGCCTGTTCACCGTGCGCCACATTATCGACCGCATAGCCGTTCGGATCGGCGGACGTTTCCGTACCGTCGTCATTCTCACCTAGAATGTCCGCGGTGAAGCCATCTGGGAGCTTGCGCCGTTCCTCGGTGGCGCATTGTGATTTCTTACCACCTCTCTTTCGACGCCCACGGCCTTTTTTTGCGTTCGCCTGCTCTCCCGCCTGCTCACCCTTACGGCCTTGGGAGATGGTTGGCTGCGACATTGCTGAGATGCAAAGGGCTGTAAGTGAAGGCGTTTGTTAGTAGTCAAAGTTTTGAGCAAGTACTACAAGCTCGAACCAAAACATCGCTTATAAACAGATCATGGTGCACCGCTCTTCGCACCTCGACGCTTGGTAGCCAGGTATCGGAGTAGCCGTCGAACAAGATTCGTGCGCTACGCTCGTATCGTGCCCGGCGTGACAGCATCCCGACCACCACGGCTCGCAGATCGACGAATACGAGGGACGTGGGAGACATGAAGCCGCCACGAGAGACACGTACAGCACCGTCGGAAGGTTGAAAATCGGTGGTGAGGCAAGTTACGTGCATCAGACAGAGGCGCGATAGCCATCTGCAGAAAACGAAGGCGACCAAAGAGGGTTGCACTGGACATCCTGCACTGGACGTGCGCACGGTAAGACTAAAAGAGAGAATCACCCATGCTGCATATCTGCTGGTGGGGTCCGTCATGTCGCGACTCGAGACGCTGTTCCTTTCACAAACGAGGCGACGCATACTCCCTCTCAAGCGGTAGGATGTAAGTGGTTCGAAGTGAAGAACCGTGCAGCGCTTGTGATTGTAAGGACGCATGTCTTATGGCAAAAATTGTCTAAGGTCGACCCTATTACCGCGTTCTACCGTGGCAAAACGTCTCTTAAATACATCTGACCGTGCACAACCACTCTAGAAGTGCGAAATTTGGCCAAACTACGACCTCAAGGCCACTCGCCCTAAGTGCATGCACATGTTCTTGCTAATGGCTCGCTTTCTGGTGAGTGTCGCTGTAAAAAAAGGAAAGGCCTCCATTGGTCCCTGAAATCTACAGTGACCGGTGATGACGGCCGTAGATAGGGGGGTCGCGTTGAAGATCAGTAACAACCCTAAATCTAGATGTACAAAATGGTAGGCTTATATAGATTACATTACAGAAGGTCTCTCTCAAAGATGCCATACTGAAAGCCACAGATTTGGTCAAGTGTTGGAGATTGTACGTGTGTGTTTGTTTTAGGATAGTCATAGCTATACATTGCATTAATACTGCTCAATCATGCACAAATATGCACATGGGATTGGTTTATGTCTCCAAACGCGCTCATATTTCGATGTCTTCTAGGGCTCATAAACACTTTGGTTGAGGTATAAATCTTCATTCAAGTGTCTCTACTATTTCCCCTAGTCCTCCTCTATTGTTTTGTAAAGAAAGGCTTATTTCCCTGAATTTTACAAGAACCGCCGTAACAAGCTATACCAACGAAGCTTCTAGCACTCAACCTCTCATTCTCTGGTCATCACAGTTTGTGTCATCTCCACCTTTTGTGTTTATAATCAATGGAACCATGTGCTGCCTCTGTGACCTAGTAAGGTGCCAGGCTGTCAACATAGTTTTGGTTGTTTCACAGGCCATCATCATATATACCCATAAACAACGCAAGCGTGATTGGATGGGCCTGATCTCTTAACCAACTCACTCCCCATATGCAATGAGCTCCTCATACAAACCTCAGAGCGTTCAGAGAAGCGGAACACAGTGGCGTGAAGGCAAGCGTCAAGGCAAGTGTCATGGTTGAAAAAACAGCCCCATTGCACTTGATGCACCGGCTTGAGTTACAATGCTAGAGTGATTGGATGGGCCTGATATCTTAACCAACTCTCTCCCCATATGCCATGAGCTCCTCACACCAATCTCAGAGCCGTCAGAGAAGCGGAACACAGTGGCGTGAAGGCAAGCGTCAAGGCATGTGTCATGGTTGAAAAAACAGCCGCATTGCACTTGATGCACCGGCTTGAGTTACAATGCTAGAGTGATTGGATGGGCCTGATATCTTAACCAACTCTCTCCCCATATGCAATGAGCTCCTCATACCAATCTCAGAGCTTTCAGAGAAGCGGAACACAGTGACGTGAAGGCAAGCGTCAAGGCATGTTCACAAAAGCTGTCAGGCAGAAAAACTGAGACATGCATCAAGGCCTTCCTGAGCTGGGATTGGTATGATTCTTGGAACCTGAGACAATATGATACCTTTGAACCATCCCTACAAGTCTCAGACTGATTGGACAACCAGAGCACACTCTGTTCACAAAACCAGTGAGCACATGGGGTGAATTCACTCAGGCAGAAAAACAGAGACATGCATCAAGGCCTTCCTGAGCTGGGATTGGTCTGATTCTTGGTACCTAAGACAATATTATACCTTTGAACCATCCCTACAAGTTTCAGACTGATAGGACAACCAGAGCACAAAAAGAGGTAAGCACATGGGGTGAATTCACTCAGGCAGAAAAACTGAGACATGCATCAAGGCCTTCCTGAGCTGGGATTGGTCTGATTCTTGGAACCTGAGACAATATGATACCTTTGAACCATCCGTACAAGTCTCAGACTGATTGGACAACCAGAGCAGACGCTGTTCACAAAACCAGTGAGCACATGGGGTGAATTCACTCAGGCAGAAAAACTGAGACATGCATCAAGGCCTTCTTGAGATGGGATTGGTCTGATTCTTGGAACCTGAGACAATATGATACCTTTGAACCATCCGTACAAGTCTCAGACTAATTGGACAACCAGAGCACACTCTGTTCACAAAACCAGTGAGCACATGGGGTGAATTCACTCAGGCAGAAAAACTGAGACATGCATCAAGGCCTTCCTGAGCTGGGATTGGTATGATTCTTGGAGCCTGAGACAATATGATACCTTTGAACCATCCCTACAAGTCTCAGACTGATTGGACAACCAGAGCACACTCTGTTCACAAAACCAGTGAGCACATGGGGTGAATTCACTCAGGCAGAAAAACTGAGACATGCATCAAGGCCTTCCTGAGCTGGGATTGGTCTGATTCTTGGAACCTGAGACAATATGATACCTTTGAACCATCCTTACAAGTCTCAGACTGATTGGACAACCAGAGCACACTCTGTTCACAAAACCAGTGAGCACATGGGGTGAATTCACTCAGGCAGAAAAACTGAGACATGCATCAAGGCCTTCCTGAGCTGGGATTGGTATGATTCTTGGAACCTGAGACAATATGATACCTTTGAACCATCCCTACAAGTCTCAGACTGATTGGACAACCAGAGCACACTCTGTTCACAAAACCAGTGAGAACATGGGGTGAATTCACTCAGGCAGAAAAACTGAGACATGCATCAAGGCCTTCCTGAGCTGGGATTGGTCTGATTCTTGGAACCTGAGACAATATGATACCTTTGAACCATCCGTACAAGTCTCAGACTGATTGGACAACCAGAGCACACTCTGTTCACAAAACCAGTGAGCACATGGGGTGAATTCACTCAGGCAGAAAAACTGAGACATGCATCAAGGCCTTCTTGAGATGGGATTGGTCTGATTCTTGGAACCTGAGACAATATGATACCTTTGAACCATCCGTACAAGTCTCAGACTGATTGGACAACCAGAGCACACTCTGTTCACAAAACCAGTGAGCACATGGGGTGAATTCACTCAGGCAGAAAAACGGAGACATGCATCAAGGTCTTCCTGAGGTGGGATTGGTCTGATTTTTGGTACCTAAGACCATATTATACCTTTGAACCATCCATACATGTTTCAGACTGATCGGAAAACAAGAGCACACTCTGTTCAGAAAACCAGTGAGCACTACCGGTGAATTCTGTCAAGTTATAAAAATGATACAAGCAACAAGGCATTCCTGAGCTGGGATTGGTCTGATCCCTCTTGTAGAATGGTTATCTTTTGCTTGAGCGTACACTTCTCCAATCCATTTCGTAATAATATAGTACCCTTTCTGGTTTGGACATTTGTTTTGTGCATGATTTATACCAAGATAATGTTTAGACTAAGTTCACTGCACTACACTGCTCCTCGACCTTTCGCCTCCACCTCGACAACACTCTAGTATCAGATACGTGTCCTAGATCTCGGCATCGCGTTTGCGCTCGTTTTTCAAAACTTTGCCAGTTCAAACTGCTGTCGCGTCACCTCTGGTTTTCGTTTCACCTTTTCTACTACGTACTGATCTATCCACCACTACTGGCAACGCCTTGTACAAAGCTCCATAACTCCAGTCATATCGTCAATCCTCTCGCCTAATGTCTGACACATAGCGATTTCGTCACCACCTGTAGTCATGACACGCCATGAGTGGATTTCGTGCCGGTTTTGTACCAACCAGTTCAAGGACGCTAAGGCTTTTGGACAGCACAAGGGGAGGTCCAGCTGTCGCTTAAAGTATGCCGCTGGAACTGCTGCAACTGAAACGGTGGCTGAGCAATATGTCTTCATGGTGGCGGATGCTCCGCCTCCGACCAACACCCATACCGAGCCACGTCTGGAGCCTAGTGACGCGGACGAGCCAGCGACCTCGGCTATTGGATCCGACGCGAGCAGCTCTGACACCTCTGCTTGCGGGTCTAACCCGCAACCGCTTTCATTCGAAGATCTGAATGGCGAGGACAACACTGCGACCAGCAATGCTTCAGCACCTCCGATTTCCGTTGTTGCACAGTCCCAGACCCCATCCCCCACGGATCCTTTAGTATTGCGCTTCATCCATCTGGTCCGCCTCGCCAATGGGAAGATGGGCATGGCGGAAGTCGATATTAGTGGGATACTGCAGCTGTTGATGTATCCGGAGCTCGCGGAGCTGGTGTTGGCGAAGTTCAAAAACTGCCGGGAGCTCAAGCGCTTTGAAATCGAAGAGCTCGCTGGCCTGGGCCGTGGGTGGAGCGTGGCAACCTTCGAAGTGGATGGCTTTGATGAACAGACGCTGTTTTTCCGAGATCCGGCGCAGGTGACTTCCCCCTTGCATGCCCATCTCGATGTTGCTCCGCTCCTCTGCTGTTCTGCTCCTCTACATTTCCAATCTCCTGCTGTTCCAATCCTCTCCTGTTCCGCTCCTCTCCTGTTCCGCTCCTCTGCTGTTCCGCTCCTCTCCTGTTCCGCTCCTCTCCTGTTCCGCTCCTCTCCTGTTCCGCTCCTCTCCTGTTCCGCTCCTCTCCTGTTCCGCTCCTCTTCTGTTCCGCTCCTCTCCTGTTCCGCTCCTCTCCTGTTCCGCTCCTCTCCTGTTCCGCTCCTCTCCTGTTCCGCTCCTCTCCTGTTCCGCTCCTCTCCTGTTCCGCTCCTCTGCTGTTCCGCTCCTCTGCTGTTCCGCTCCTCCCCTGTTCCGCTCCTCTGCTGTTCCGCTCCTCTGCTGTTCCGCTCCTCTGCTGTTCCGCTCCTTTGCTGTTCCACTCCTCTGCTATTCGGGACCTCTGCTGCTCATCTATTCTTCCGTTCCGCCCCTATGCGCCATGTAATCGCAGGCCTTGGCGGACATGTTTGGAGACCCAGCCAATGCACCCGGCTTTGTGCTGAAGCCACGCATGGACACTGACCCTGAAACCGGCCAGCGACGCTACTCCACCCCAGAGACGGGCACATGGTGGCATAATGCCCAGGTATGCCGCATCTGCGCACCTGCAACTAACACCTCATGACTTCGTTATTCACCTGTTCTTGCCTACGTGCCTTGTTGATTCCATGCCTGTCATATTTCCTCACCTGCAAGTCACCTCTCTGTGTCTTGTCTAGTCAAACATTACCCTTGTAGCACACTGTCACCTCATACTTGCGTCACTCACATGCTCTTGATTCCATGCCTTGTGTATTCCAGCCCTATACTCCATTCTCACACACGCCTCTCACCTCACAATCCTATTACTCGCCTGCTATTGCCTACACTCGTGTAATCTAGGCCTGTCCTTCCATCTCAACCCAACCTCATCCTTGCGTTACTCAACTGCTTTCGCCTGCTTTTTTGTTGGAGGCTGACAATCCCCCTCTATTCGACCCTATATGCAATTGCAGGATCATGTGGGAGAAGGTGAGGTAGTTGCGGCCATTATGCTCTACAGCGACGTGACGCACCTGAGTGAAAACGGGCGCAAATTGGCTTGGCCTGTTATGATGACATTGGGGAACATCCGGCAGGGCAAGTGCTGGGCATCGTCTGGGCACTGTCTGCTCGGAACTCTCCCTATCCCCCCCACTACCATGTCACCCGGTCAGAAAACTGCCCTTTTCCAACAAGCCGCATTGACCATGCTTGAAAAGCTTCTTGCGGGGCGAGAAAGGTGATCATTGTTTAATAATTAGTGTTACACTAAAATGTCTACCCACTGGCTCCCACTCTGCCATTCCGGCGCCCAATTATGACGTGGTAACTGAAGCGTGTCCCCCCCTTGCCATGTTTGCCATTCCTGCAAAACCCATTGCTCTTGTTTTTTTGCTATATATATATATTTCTTAACAAAGCAGATTCCCCATGTATCAGCGTGTGATTATGATGACCAAACCCCTTTCGTTCCACAACATGCATTTCCATGACAGTGGCTTCTTGCTCAAGGACCCCAATGGCGTGGAGCATGTGGTCAGACCCATGCTTTACACATGGGTCTGTGATTACCCCGAAAGTGGGAAAGTCACCTGCACCTTATCTGGTGGCACTGCTCGTCCTTGCAGTAACAGCTATGCTGAGAAGGTAAGACACTATTCCGACCGCCTTACTTGCGCCCCCACTACCGTACTTGGCATTCTTGCGCCCCCGCTGCCATAGGTTTCACCTTTGCACCCCCACAGCCATGGCGCTCTCATTTGCACCGCCACAACTATGGTTGATATCCTTGCACCCCCTTTCAGGAGCATCTTGACTGTGTCACTGCTGAGAACACGCCTAGGACAGTCGACCAACAACGCTGGATCATGGAGCATGCAGGGGACAAGTTGGGAACTGAAAAGACGGCTGCGGCCCAGTTTTCCACATTCGGCATTGAGGTATGTGCATACATGCTTAATTATATTAGCGTTCTTGAAACCATCTACCTTCTAAAATCGACTATGTTGAGCGATTTGTTTGCAGTGCGCACTCTGGCACTGGGATGTGCCTGGCGCGCCATGGGCGAATCCGTACCAAGCGATCATGCCTGACATAATGCACCAGTCCGACCTGGGCATTCTACACCACATCGTGGCTGCGGTTCGTGCGTCATACGGCCGGAGCCTCACCTTGTTCGACGCGTAATTCCCCTTCCAAATCTGCTTCTCCTATCAGCATCCCATCCACATGACTTATTCTGTCACACCCTACTGCCTCCTAAACTCTGTCCATTTCCCACCATGCTTTTTTCGCTCGCCCCATCCCCATCACCCCTGCTGCTTCACTCACTCCCCTGCCACATACATCCCCCATCTGCCAATCACCCTTGCTGTTTTTCGCTCGCCCCATCCCCATCACCCCTGCTGCTTCACTCACTCCCCTGCCACATACATCCCCCATCTGCCAATCACCCTTGCTGTTTTTCGCTCGCCCCATCCCCATCACCCCTGCTGCTTCACTCACTCCCCTGCCACATCCATCCCCCATCTGCCAATCACCCTTGCTGTTTTTTTCTCGCCCCATCCCCATCACCCCTGCTGCTTCACTCACTCCCCTGCCACATCCATCCCCCATCTGCCAATCACCCTTGCTGTTTTTCGCTCGCCCCATCCCCATCACCCCTGCTGCTTCACTCACTCCCCTGCCACATCTATCCCCCATCTGCCAATCACCCTTGCTGTTCCTTCGTCTGCCCGCCTTATCTTTCACCCATGCACTCCCATTTTTAGGCGGCTAGCTCAAATCCGCGCTGATACGAGGATGACTAACGTCCGTTTTCCATCAGCCAACTACTTCACGTCCTCTGCCCGAATTGCGGCATACGAGCATCGTGCGGTGCTCATGGTACGTGTTTGTTTATGCCTATGGAGCTTACGTTTTGTTGCTGATGCCTTATTGTGGACAATGCATACACAAGATTTGCACTAACCCACACCCTCCCCAGGTGCTCCTCTTCATCGTCTCAGACACGCTGGAGGAGAAGTGCTTGAGCGCAATCCGAGCGTACCTGGATTGGTACCTATTCTGCGCCAAGCAACCCGGCCACACGGAGAGAGATCTGTCGACTCTAGAGGGTTTGACTGATAGGTACCATTCCATTTCATGATTAACTGTTCTTTTCTGTTTATGTGCTGTAAAAACACCCGAAGGATCCTGAACCCATTACTCAAAAGTGTGATCAATAACACCTTACACCCAATGTTGCTAGTGCTTTGTAAATGCACACCTTGCCAAGTGCTGTCTATAATTGATCCCACTCCAACAGGCTGGTCAAAGAGCTGCAGGATGCCTTTCCTGAGCAAAAATCAGAGTGGTGTTTGATCAAAACACACCTCATGACACACTACCCTGGAGCGATAAGGAGAGCAGGCCACGTGTCTGAGTACTCATCAGCGATGTTTGAACATCTGCACGGGCCGTTGGTGAAGCGAATCTATCGACGTACCAACAAACGCGGCGTCGAGGCCCAAATCATGGAACACCATGAGAAAAGGGCGGTATACCAAACTCTGGACACACCCGAGTGCGCCCACGAGACATCAATGCTGCAAGTAAGTCCTCATTTATTGACACAACATATGCAGCACCATTCTGCAATGGTTAACACACACAATATTGGATACATGCAGGCAACAAACCTTGGCACACCGGTAGTTACCCAAGACGCGTACGCGATGTTTGTCAAGCCTCCAGCTGAGCCAACCAAGATGAACGAGTTCTACAACAAGTGGGCTGCCCAACAGCCAATCGCACATCAGTACTTCGAAACGGCGTTGGCCGAGTATGGCTTGAGCGCCGAAAAGGACATGGTAAGCTTTTACTCGTGCAGCAATCGAATATTACTACCGTACAACAATTTCTCACACCATTCTTGTACATGTATACTTTCAGGCTCATCCAACAATGGCAATCCCGGCTGATGCGGGTACTCAGACATCCAAAGAAGCCCATTTTGTGAGGGCTACACCGGACAGCTACAAAAGACCTTGGTTCTCTAACGTTGCAATTTCGTGCGAGGGAGGTGGCGTGGAATACGCTATGTTGATGCTCCTGTTCCATTGCAAGAGGCGCAACGTACGACACAACCTTGCATACGTCAGGTACTACATGACGTCAGGCACAGACGCAACAACAGGGTGCGTGCGTCTGCGATGGCCCGCAGACGAGAATGCATTTCACATAATTCCAATCGCGTCTATCTTGCGCCACGTGCATGTGGTGAAGATGTATGATCTGGAAGAGCCGGATGTGTACATGATGAACAAATACATAGTGTAATCTGTAGTTACAACTAATAATTGCATTCTTGCATTGTAGAAACAAATAATATCGTCTACGTGTTGTTCCTGAAATCATCCATACTTAAATTGCCAGTACACAAAACGAGGCTTACTGCAATGTCGAATTAAAACGAACCGCTGAATTTCCGAACCGCTATTTTGGGAAGCGATGTGCAATCGCGGCTCGGACGAACTGGAAAACAGTCTGGAAACAGGCGGGAGAATTTCGTGAGGGGCGAAATTGAGTGCCTGAAATTTCCGTTGGTGTTGCAGCTGAGTCGCGCCTGAAATTGCTGTTCGACAAATTGCCGAACCCAACCACAAAAAGGCAGGAACATTGTGATGATAGGCTATATCATATATGTCTGACAATGCTTTCTCCAACAGCTATTGGCCTTGTCCCTCCGTCCAGTTTGGAGAGAGCCAGTAGGCGGGATGCTGCGAGGAGCCTGGCGACTGGGGGTGGCAGTTTCCCTATCAGAATGGTGTTGACTATTGCGTGGAGGTTTGTCGCCACTGACTGGTTGACTAGACAGGCCTCCCGCAGGTGTTCGAATGTCAGACCTGATGGGCCTGCCCCAATCCCGTTGTCATAGCGTGACAGAACTCTGAGAAACTCGGGCAAGGTGGCTGTCAAGTCGGCGTTGGTGTCAGGTACCGGCCAAACGAGGGGTGCTTCAGGAGCAGGTGGGTGCTTGGCGCGCAGTGCTTCCAGGGTTGCTGTTGACGGGGTGCACACCGGCGTCGCCTCCAGGGCCAGAACCGCTCTCCTCAGGCTGCCACGTCGCGCAAGGCCCTCTGCCCTTGCAATCACTCCTACGTCGTCAGGGGTATGCCTGGGCGCTTGAGGGTAGGTCAGAGAGTCAAGCGTGTCAGAGTACAGTGCACTCCACTCCCCCGCCAAGAACTGTCGTAATCTTGCTCTGACTGCAGGCCAATCGGGTTTTTGAGGAGTGTGTTGTCTCAGCGTCAGTCGTGCGAGGAACAGAAAGACTGTCCACGCTGTCGGTGATTCCGGGTCATCAGCCAGTCGGAGCAGAGGAGCTAGCAGCGCTGTCGCGAAAATTGGGCGGATTTTCTGTGGGAGGTGGCGTGGCAGGGGAGTTTCGTCAAGTCCCAAGTTTCCACGGCAGCGAAAAGCGTGTTATCAGCAGCCAGTGATTCAGGCGATTTTTCCGTAGGTGGTTGCATGCGGTTTGGCGGTGCAATGGTGGGTTGGGGTTGGTGGCGCGATCAGATGTTGCAGAAATTGGGGCGGCTCGGGAGGAGGGGGAAATTTCTGCAGATGCGGCCCGATTTCCTGGACCAACCCCAATCCCCCGTCCGTCTCGAATTGGTGTTGGTCGTCTTCCCCTCGGCGGACTCCTCTCCTCAGCCGAGTCCTCTGTGGTGGACTCGGCTTCTTCAGATGGGATAAAAGAGGCATCGCGGGCCTCGTCATCCTCATTAGTCCTTGTTAAAGCCCTCCGCGCAGCTTGTTGGAACGCGTTCTCCGGCCCTCTGCCATGTCCTCCCGTAGTCTGCCGTCCTGCGCCTCGTCCGCGTCGAGATGCCTGTGTCACTTGGGGCCGATTTCTCGTATTCGCCAAGGCCCTTTGTCGTGGCGTCAGCTGTGAGTGCCCCGCTGGTTGTCTCGTCTCCAATGTCGACTCCTGTGGTAAAGCTGCCCTCGGCTCCCCCTGCCGGACCGGTCCCTCCTCCGAAACTGGCGGCAACACCCCCGTCCGTTGAGGTGTCCGTGCCTGCGCCGGCCGCATCGCTGCATACTGCGCCAGCTAGTGCGCAGGGCCCTGCCCCTGTCGCGTCGCCTCCTGCGCCCGCTATGGCCCCACCTCGTGCGCCTGTGGAGGCGCCGACTCCTGTGCCTGCTGCGGCGCCGGCTCCCCTGCCTGCCGGACCGCCGACTCTAGCGCCAACGGATGTGAAATCTGCTCTGGCTGTGGAGTCCCCCCCTGTGCCTGCTGTGGCAATGGCACTGGCGCTTGCTGCTGCGCCTGCTGCGCCTGCTGCTGTGACGCATCCCCCGTCTGCTGGGGTTGTGGGGAATCCGTCTATGCCTGCGGCGCCGACCTCCTCTGCTCCAGCCGCTGATTCCCCTGCTGCTGCGTGCCCCGCCCTTTCTGCTGTCGGTGTGCCTTCTGTGCCGCCTCCGGCCAACGGATTGGCGTTCCCTCCGGCGTCCGCCACCACCGCAGTCTTGACTTCGGCAAGGGCGGGGGGGGCGGTGGCAGCGGTGCTGTCTCTGATGGCGTCTGCGTCCCAGACTGCTCGCCGTCCGCCGTCGCCTGGACGCCGCCATTCCCGTCACCCCTCCCCGTCTCGGCCGACAGAGCGTGAGTCCGCGCGTCGTTGCTGTGACTCTCCTCAGCGCCAGCCTCCCCCTGCGCACTGGAATTCCCACCGTGGCGGTTGTGGTGGTTGGAGGGGGGGTCGTGGGCGTGGAGGTGGTGGTGCGTGTGTGCAGCCGTTGACGCTCGCGGACGTGCAACGGGTTGTGTCGGCTGCAATGCACGAGGAGAGAGCTGGGCAGGCAAGCCAGAGCAGCTCATTGCGGGTCGCACCGGCCCCTGTAGCTCCTCCTCCGTCTGCTCTGCTTGTGGATGCCCCGTCGGCAGCTGCACCTCCTCCTCTCGCTCCGGCGGTTCCAGCTGCCACGCCACCGGCCTGCTCCCTGCCGCAGTGGGCACCTCCGCTTCGTCGAGTAGAGGTCCCGGAGGCGACCTTGGGGCAGCTGTGGCGCCTGTCGGAGAGCCTGCGTGCCATTCACCTGATCCAGGTGTATGGCCACCTTGCTCTCTCCCGCGGTTGCGGCCCTCTTGACGAGTGCCTTGAAGTTGCCGATCAACTCGCGGAGATCCTGGCGCCCGTGTTGGCTGCGCCCGCGAGGGGAGGAGTTGCGGGCGTAGGACAGCTTGGTGCGGCCGTCCGTGGATTGCGCCGGTCCTTGCGCGCAGGGACAGGAGGCGATCTGATCGCCGCAAGCACGGAGGTGGTGTTGGAGTTGCATCGGACGCAGGCGAGGCTCTTCGCTGTTCTTGAGGCGGATCAGATGTAGGATCCGCCACTGCTTGTCCCATGTTTGACATTAGTAGCTAGACACCAGTGCCATGGTTGTATGCCTATGTAGTGTGAGCACGTTTTGCCTGTTTTGCTTGCCGCTAGGTTAGGAGAGAAACCCAACCAGAAACTGAATAATGAAGAGGCCACAAGGCCTTCTGGGGCCTTTATACTAGGACTAGGGAGGCTAGGGAGGCTAGGGGAGGCTTGGGAGGCTAAGTCACTAGGTGTCTCTCTCTCTCTCTCTCTCTCTCTCTCTCTCTCTCTCTCTCTCTCTCTCTCTCTCTCTCTCTCTCTCTCTCTCGAACGGTCCTTTGTATTGATATAGAAAAGGGAAAAACAGCAAAGGCAGAGCAAGCAAACAAGCAACAAACAGGTGTGTCTAACTATTCTCCTCCCTACCCCTTTCCCCCCCCCCCCCCCCCCCAAGTCTTCTACTCGCTACCGTTGCCCGGTTCTAGGGTAGCAAAGCACTCCCCCGGGTCCAGGACCCCCTCGGGGCCTCCA